ACATAGCGTATGCGCACCCCCCCCACCCGACCGAACGGGACGGAACAGAAGCAGAAGAAGGTTCTTAAAGAGACAGGCCAATTTCAAAGTGTTTAGAAGAGGAAGTGATGAGAAGATATGTTTATTTTCTGTTTAAACATAAAAACAGCATTTTAATAACAACTAAAGGTGACATATATACTTTACTATGGTATAGTATTTAAATATATGCCTGAGAAACACATAATATTGGCCCTTTAATGGCTCATCAAATGAAATCTTAGTGTTTTTAGAATTTAGATTATAGTAGTTAGTTATTTGTATTTTATGTTTTGTTTTTTGGTAAGAGACAGTGGATGGGCTGTAAATTTATGATACACGTCACAAAGTTAGATAAATGATTTACGAGTAGCTCAAGTGATGACAGTCAGATGTAACTAAGTTTATTCTTTAAGATTGGCTATATAACTGCTGAAAATGAAAGCTTTAAAAGATGTGTGTAAACTATGTAACCGTTTAAGAAATTCACTCAGTCACATTCACCCTTGGTATCTTTCTATATATTAATTTCTGCAGGAGCTAGAGTGTAACTCTATTTTAATAAAACACAGATACATCTACATCTTTCGGAATCATTGTCATCTTGGTTGTGTTTACATCTAACGATGAAGATATTTTTCTCCTAATGATCTGGAGGAATATGTGTCAGCTTGTATCCTGTTCATTAGAAATAGAGAGAGTGTTCATAAACAGCTCGATGAACTAAACTGTCTTGCAGTATTGCCTGATGGTTGAAGATTACCTCTTGTTTTATTTTATGGTTGTATAGCAACAATCAATATAAACACATCTACTTTGATGCCTCTTTAAATGGAACATGTGCTGAAGGTATTTAAACTTTTGTTTGAGTTCTGCAAGATCTACAGAATATGAAAACAAATGAAATAATCCTTCTTACTGTAGCAGCTACTTCTCACTCAGTGATGATAATAATGATTAATGCCTGAATTACCAGACGGAAAGAATAAATTTTTTCATGATTTGCAAATCTGAATAATTGAGTGTGTTGTGCCTGATTTGCAGAGATGATACATGAAGGGAGGTGGATTGAACTTGTCACATACGTAAGTGACACATGACGCCACTCCAAGGCTTTTACATGGTAGCAGAGAGAGAGGGATCATATCTGTTTTCAAGTGTGGAGAAACTAAARTTTTACAACCTCAAGCAAAAAGCCTGTTAGTGGCTGTCAATATTGTGTGTGTGTGTTCACACACATGCAGATACTTGTGTGTTAGGACGATACAATTGTTAAAGTGGTGAGGAGCATTGTAAAGATGTTCCTCCAAGTAAGTTTTTATTTTTTAGTTATTCCTGAGGAGAAGGGGCTGAAAATAGTGTCTCCCTGAAAGTTACGTGTGAACGAGGGAAACACAAAACACTGTTCATGTCAGTATTTCTGTACACAAGTTCATAATCTGTTTTTAAGCATCAGTCTGACTCTGATTAAAAATCCTTATTCTTTCCAAACTGAATATCAGATTAACTCTAACTAGATCAAATATGGAAAATATTCCGTTAACGTGACCTCTGATCCAGATGTTCACATAGTTGATTTGCAACTATTTTCTCAAGAATGTTTGAGATGAATGGGAGATTAGAAATAGGTCTAAAGCTACATTTCATGTAGCTTTTTCCTCTGCCCTTCAAGTTTTCACTCTGCAGCCCATTTCTTTCCTCTCATTCATCTTCATCATTCTGCCCATCTTCAGTGGCGGATTGAAGAAACCTCCTTGTTAGGTTTGTCAGGTCAGTCGGGAGGGCTGATCAATCTGTCCAGCGCCTGAATTTCCCAGACTAGGTTTCTAACTTGTACATCAGAGCTACTTTGGAAGTAAGAAGAGGGAAACCATAGGACTTATTAGCCACCTATGGTCATTTGACAACCTTCCCCAGCCAGGGCAGAACCGAGCAGGGACTGGCTGAGGGTGTGTAATTTATCTGGGTCATCAGAGAACCGGACATAACTGGGGAGGATGTTTTATTCTCTGATTGTGGTCATCAGAAGTGCAGTTAATTGGCACAGTTTCAAATAGATTCTAGTTGTTGGATTTTTCTTTCTAGAGTTGCCACAAATACAAATGGCTGCTTCTGACATGCTGTGATTAGAGCTTTCCATTTTTCATCAATGTTGACACRGAAAAGAGCCATCGTTTTGATTTTGTCAGGAGCCTCATTTGACATCTTTGCTCTGTGATGTAAACAAAACTGATTACTTCAGCTGAAAAAATACTTGTGTGTAATAAAAAACACATACTGTTATAATATAAAAACAAGACATGAACATTATTTAACATCATTAAATGGCAAGCAAAATGTTTCATATTAGAAAAGATGAGCAATCTTGTACAGTGGTGTTCATCTGTCAACAATGCGTGGTAAGGATTTTCAAAGGCCAAGAGTCATTCCTCTAAGTTCTTTTTATCTAAATTTAAATACAGCTAAAATAAATGTAACATTTTTCTGTTTWTTATTCTCAAATAAGTTTCCTAGGAAGAACAAAACACAAACTGTCAATGTTAAGTATCTTACCTTATCATAATAAGTAAATTCTTTTTTTTTCCCACCTTCTCTTGTTCTCAGGTGTAATGTTAGCAGGAGTCAGGATATCAGAATGGCCACAGGGATAATTGTGTAGTGCCAGATATAATTTCAAACACAGTCCATCTTACTCAAAGATTAAGTCTTCTCCATTGCCCTTTTTTGGCAAAAGCTTAATAAGAATGTTTCTCCGCAGTTTGCAACTTTTTTTCAGACAGCTGGAAAAAAAGTATTTAAAGCAAGATGCTGACAATGAACTGTTTTTGTGTTTACAAGTTTACATGTTTGACTCTGCATTTAGTGATTTTTAAGAGGAAAGCAATGTAAATTTTGAATATTCAACCAAAGTCACACAAATCTCTGAAACCTACAAAAATACACCTATTATACACAACTGATATTTTAATAGCAATTAAATAGACTTTGTGTCTCTTTCTGACAACTTCCAGTGTTTTAAGTTGAATCACAATCTCARCTCCAGCATATTTACGATAAATGTGCACACTAACCATTAAAATAACCACTTGATTGTTTAGTCTATTAATTACTGCTTGCTGTTCTGAGCAGAGTAAACTCTAAAGAGATTTTTCTCACCAGTAGACTTTTAAGCTGTTGGCTTTCTTGTCCACCTTTACAAAAGAATCTATACAAAGTAGCGTTAGATGTTTGTCTGAACAGTCAACTGCTGCTGACTTGGCAAAACACACAGGTCCTGCTTCCGTGTGCTGTAGTTTATACAATGTGAACAGTGGTCTAGTTGAAATTCRCAGGAACACCTGAAACAGCCCCTCCAAGCCATGTCAGATCAATGTATTTCGTCTCTCATCTGTCACATGGCACTCTCAACCTATTCTGCCACCCAAATTACTGATCTGCTGACTTATAATTTTGGTGGACCTGGCAGTGTACTGTACCCAAGGCATTTGAAAATATCAGTGGCAGACCAAGCTGTCAGCCTGGATATATCCATCACCAAGAGAGCCATGTGAAACAGACAGCTAATATCCTGGGGACTTTTACAGCTGCTTTTGTCAAAGTCTTCATTGTGACAGGAAGCTTCCCACAAACGTTTCAAAGCCTGTTAGCCATCCACTTCCAGTGTGTTTGGACATTAAATCCTGTCACCTGTGGATGCTGAAACGAGCATCTGTTATATTGGCCTTATCGCTGATGTGCACTCATAAACTGCAGGTGTTAATAAAGATTTGTTGTCATATTGAGGCTTATACTGCATTGTGCAAAAGTAGAGGAAGCAGATGTTTGTGGCAGATACAGGAATGTAAGATKTATGAAACACAAGAATCACTGGTTTTATTTTTTTTAATAACACAGGTTCTCTATCACGTATTTCATGGAGACTGATATCCAGTCTGACAGGAGTTTTTKTCAGGTTTAGGAACTGGTTGAAGATGGTCTAAGTTTTGTTTAAAATTATTTGTTTGGGGAAAATAAACTTTCTTGCTTCAAACGTTTCTGTAAAAAAACATGTTTAATACATTGTATTTAAAATAAAAATATATGTGCGTTACATGAGTAAGTATCAGTTTGTTCATTTAGATTTCTATCTGGTGTCTGTTAGTACTTTGTAAATCCCTAATCACAAGCTGACACAATCACACACTGACATATAGTCTGAAATTTACAGTCACATAGAATATCTGTCACCATCTTCCTTGTTCTGGTTTTACACTAATAAAATAAATGGCAGCTTGGTCTAAGCAAACAAAGTAACATTGAGGGAAAAGAACCTAAAGTAGCAGAAAACATGAATTGGGTTGTGTGGACTAAAAGTCATAATAAAGATTTAGAAGTGAGAATATGATAGTCTGCTTTTCATGCATACTTGCCTTGAGTAACTTCAATACTGGGAGAAAATAAGTACATGAGAAAGTTTCAGAGTATAATTCTAACTTTATAGATTTGCTGCCTCAACACCTTGGCGACACAATATTAATGGGGCCAAGAGAAGCTGGTGAAAAATTATTCTTAATTTTCTCTAAAGGTGAATTAAACTGAATGACCATCTGAATGAATATAAATTTGACTAACAGGAGAGATGATATTTGGCTGGCTGTGTGTCCTCTGACACAAGCTCTTTTTTTTCCACACAATGGAAATCCTTCACCTCTGATCAGCTGTTTATGCTCACCGATCCCGCAGTAATGAGATRGACATTTAGAAATGTGTTAAACCTGGCTAGAATTCCATCACATCAGCTCACATCAGCTCATTCATTCAGATCTGCACCTTTTTTTAAT